GCGGGCACCGGGCTCCGGGAGCCCAGGGGGGAAAACCGCACTTACGAGAAGGGGGACGGTCCTCTCTTCTTTGTGGAGCTCGACTTTGCCGGAGCTTCTCTGCCCACTCTTAACGCCGCCGCCGCCGCCGCCGCTGCTGGGAGACCGGCTGGACGCGGCCGAATGAGGCTTGCTGTCCTGCCACAAGTAATAGAAAGTGCCTAGGATCCAGGCTACGGTCAGGATCGCAATGGCATTAGCCCGGATCCGCCTCATTGCGGGACCTCCGGGCTGCCGGGGAGCTCCGAGTCAGCTGTAAAGAGGTTCAGTTCTTGGAGAGACACGAGAGAGAGAGAGCAATGGGGAAATGGTGAGACCCGATTCTCTCCCCGCCTCTGTTTGGCTGGCTTGTGCGGTCACACAGCTGTTGGTTCGAGCTCTTGTCTCCCGGCTCAGTCCCGCAGAGCGAAAAGAGAGCGAGAGAGAGAGAGAGAGAGACCGAGGAAGACCGAGAGGAAGAGAGAGAGAGGGAGGCAGGTCTTCCGGGTCCTAACGCCTTCGGTGAGACCTACGAATATATGCTCACCCTTGGGCTCTAACCCATCCAGCCAAGACAGTGTCGCGCTTGCAAGGAGCCAATCTGGGTCGGTCGCCGGGACCAGCGTCGCGCTTCCTCGCAGCCCTATCGCTCGAACAAGCAGGGACGGTTGTTGTGTTTCGCCTTCCTGTTTTTTCCCCCCTGTTGGGGGCAATGTAGAGGAGGAGAAGGCTGGATGTTTCATCTCACGGCTTTTGAAAAGAATCGAGGGGGGGGGTTGTATTGTGATGCCACCCTAAATTTTCCTTAAAGCAGCAGCAAGTCGTTTATTCGCCGTTAAAGGCTGCCTTGGAAAGTCACCTCCCACGCTCCAGTGCTGCTGCTGCTGGTGGGCTCATTCATAAAACCAGCATTGTAATTTGCACACAATTGATATAAAATGTGCCGGATGCCAAGAGGGAGCCAAGATGCAGTCCCCCGATCATCATGGGCCGTGGGACAAACCAGAGGGAAGCTAGGAATTCCCTAGAGAAAGAGGAAAACCTACCCTTGCTCACCCAAAGTATTCAAAAACAGGGACACTGAAAACAGGAGCAATTGAAGGGGGGTGGTATATTTGACTTCCCTGTTACAAAGGATGCTCAATCTCTCTCCATCATACTTTGGATGTAATCTGGCAGCCTCAGAATCCAGCAGTGTGTAATATCCCAACATTTATTCCCATCAGTGTAACAAGAACCTCTTTGAATGGAGAAAGGGGGATGTTTGCAAGCTAATTTAAATTCCGGATCTTTACTGACAGGTGCTGTTGAATTTCAATCCCGAATGTCATTAAAATAAATCAAAACTTTCTGCTTCGGTGATGTCCCTAGAAATGGAATGGGACAACTTTTGGAATCTGGGCCTTTCTAGATGATTAGTTCCCGGAATTCTCAGCCTGGGTTGATTGAGAATTAAGAGAGTTGAAGTCCACAGCATTTCAGTCAAGATTGATGTCTGTGATAAAGCTGCACCTTCAGCTTCCTGAGGAAAAAGGGGTAAACTTCCACTTCTAAAAGAAAGCACTGAGGCTGCCCATTGCAGAGAGAAGGGCCTTTGTGATACTGATGATTCAGAAGTGATTCAGACCTTTGTCTCAGCTGGAGGTGACTAGCAAACACATTCCCCTGGCCTGGGAAGATAACATTATGTGGAACAGGGAGGAGGGAATTCTAATGGATCTTTTGCAATGACTTTCAAAAGGATAGCACTAAAAGAATTCACTTTTTGCTGGAGAAACATGAAAGAGTCCTGTGGTCCCTTTATGACCAACAAGACATCAAATCATGTGATACTTTGAAGGCTTGTGTTCAGGAGAATTCTGTAATTTTTACTGGGGGAAAAAGGAATCTAGTCCTATCAAGGCAATCATTTTACCCAGAGCCCTCATTTTATGTCATTATCTGGACTCATTGGTCTGAATTGTCCTGAATTGCTACAAGATGTCATTGAGCTCAAATAAACATGGGTTGAATTCCAGTTGCTTAGCTTCCCCATCACAAAGATCTGTTGCCTAGAGGAGATTCAAGGACCACTGAGGACACAGTAATTAATGTCGGTTCATATGGTAGCTCCTATGGGCAGTCCTTAACTGAGTGTGAAGGGAAGGCAAGAATAAAGAGGCTTCAGGGCCAAAAAAGCATGTGGCAGCAGCCAAAAAAGCTAATATAATCCTAGGTGGCATTAACAGAGGGATAGAATCAAGATCACACGAAGTACTAGTGCCACTTTATAAAGACTTAGTTAAGACCACACTTAGAATATTGCATCCAGTTTTGGTCACTATATTATAAAAAAGATGTTGGTATTCTGGAAAGAATGCAGAAAAAATTAGGGGGTTGGAGGCTAAAACATATGAAGAATGGTTGCAGGAATTGGGTTAGTCTAGTCTAGTGAAAAGAAGGACTAGGGATGACATGATATCAGTGTTTCAAAATCTGAGAGGCTGCCACAAAGAAGAGAAGTCAACCTATTCACCAAAGCACCAGAAGGTAAGACAAGAAACAATGGATGGAAATTAATCAAGGAGAGAAACAACCTAGAACTAAGGAGAAATTTCCTAACAGTGAGAACAATTAACCAGTGGAATGGCTTGCCTTCAGAAGTTGTGGGTGCTCCATCACTGTAGGTTTTTAAGAAGAGACTGGACAACCATTTGTCCAAAATGGTATAGGGTTTCCTGCCTGAGCAAAGGGTTGGACTAGAATAGCTCCAAGATCCCTTCCAACTCTGTTATTCTCTTATTTTGTTATTCTTATTCCTTTCAGATCAGTGCCATCTCCAGCATTGGCACCAGCTGACCTCAATTTTATTTTTAGTTCTTTTAAAATAAAGTTCCCAATAATAGGGTTTTTTGAGTTGCCTGCAGTCAGTGAGAACTTTAAAAACTATATTAAAACTATCCACATTCACATAGAGAACAGCACAAAAGATATATTTTTTAAAAAAATCAAGAACAATAATAAGAGTAATAGATTTGGCAACTAAACTCTGAAGTTCTAAAACACCAAAATGGTGGATGAATCGCTCCATGGATTGTTCTCTACCAGCACTTTTCTGATTAAGAAAGTCTATCCCACTTTATAGCCCTTAGATCAGTGGTTCTCAACCTTTTTAATTCCGTGACCCCAACCGGTCGTAAGTCGAGGACTAAACCGGTCGTAAGTCGAGGACTAAACCGGTCGTAAGTCGAGGACTACCCAACCGGTCGTAAGTCGAGGACTTTCCCTGCCCGTGGTTCTGCCCCCTGCGCCGGCTGAGGCATAGCTGGCAAGCGGCAGAGACGGAGCAGGCCAACCACCAGCTGGCCCAGCCCAAGGGAGGTAAGGCACCCGCTGGAAAAGGGGAAAAAAATGGCAGACAAAAAAAATGGCGGACAGCCTTGCTTGGCGACCCCCATGAAATGGTCGATCGACTCCAAATGGGGTCCCGACCCACAGGTTGAGAACCACTGCCTTAGATCAAGGGTACTTCATATTTGGGGCTGGGAAGTATATTTGAATATTTAAAGCAATGGCCCCTAACCTTTTGGGCACCAGGGATCAGTTCCATGGAGAGAGGTTTTTCTATGGACTGGAGGGGGCGTGGTTTTGCGTGCTGCCTGCATCCTGCAGACGTGGCTTCATTTGTTTGTGCAGCCCAGTTTCTGGCATGCCACAGTCCAGTGCCGGTCCATGGACTAGGGGCTGGGGACCCCTGATGTAAAGAGAGCATTCATAGAGGTGAATATTTAAGTTACTTCAAGTATAAGTACAGTGTGTATGTGACACATTCATCAGACAATTAGGTGCATGTGGAAGCCAAAGCTGGCTGTGCTTCTCTATATATTCAGTGATAAATTTATGGTTTGCTGACATGTGACTAGTGAAATAATGACTGCACAGCTGCCCTGGCCACATTTATTTCTTCTTCTTTTTTTTCCTCCTGACATGAAGGTAATCACTGGCCCTATTGTTCTTCATCTGTGTCAATTTTATAGATATATTGAAAAATCCCCTTTGCGCCTTCCCCTTCGGAACACACTTCTGCCAACTGATCACCACTAACAACCACAGAGATTATGAGCATGCAGAAAAACAGGTAAGAATCAAAGCACAACAGCCAAATGAGTAACTTTCTATCATAGCCTTCTCTTATCTGGTATGCTCCAGATTAGAGGACTACTACTCCCCCAGAGGTCTTGGTCAGTGTGACATTGGTCATCCTGATTGGGAATTCTGGGGTTTGTAGTCCCAAAATATTTGGAAGGTATCAGGTGATAGGAAAAATTGTGCTCTTGGGTTGACAAAATTCTGAGTTTATTTATTCCATTTTTCAGATGTAGAAAAGACAGAACTTCATAAAGGTTACCATTTGTTTTCACTTCCTGTGGAACAGATTTCTGAGAATCTGCATTATCCGACTTTGGCAGATGGGGGTGGGGAAAGGGGGAGGGAAGATCTGCACCTGATCCACCCAGAAAGCTAATACAATATATGGGGGGGAAAGCTTTAAGTGAACTAGTTAATAAAATTAGGTTTTATTTTAAAAACTAAACTAAAGTCGAAAAGATTGGGATTGACCATATATTGCTCTAAATCAGGAGTAGTCAACCTTGGCTCTTTTATGACTCGTGGACTTCAACTCCCAGAATTCCTGAGCCAGCTAAGCTGGCTCAGGAATTCTGGGAATTGAAGTCCACGAGTCATAAAAGAGCCAAGGTTGACTACCCCTGCTCTAAATTCAGCATTATCCAGGAAGCTAGAATTTCAGAGCTAGAAGACAGGTTGCCCATCCGTTCTTTAGCCTTTTTTTTTGGCATTTTTTGTTGAGTAGAAAGGAACCCTGCTGGATTTTGCTTATTGCAAGTCCTTTCATGGGACACATTTTCCATTTTCTTCCAATTGAGTTAGAGAGTCAAGCTATGCGAGAGAGATGGAAGTAGTGACATAAATCCCAAAGTGACAATAAATGGCTGTCTTAACTGTCCTCTTGAGAAAGGAACCTCTTCTTCTACACTAGAAAATCTTAAAAGAATTAGGAGCAGAAACATTGGCCTGCAACAATGCCTACTAGGGTTAATGTGGTGTTATTGTGGAGCTCTAGGAAATTAAAAAAGCAATTTGAGCACATCTCGTGAAAATACCCTTAGAAAGAATTCAGGGTGATTCACTCCTGCTAACACTAGTATGTGAAACATGAGAGAACTTTTATTGTTATCAAACTTTCCT